CACACGCAACGCATCACTCGTTCTCCTGTGTAAGACTCACATTTAGCACGTGTTGCTTGTATTGCTGTCCAATTCAATACACCAGAATAGTTGTTAACTTTAAACAAACAACACGATTACTCACACTCTTACTGTAATTAGTGATTAAATCAACAATTAATGTAGGACACCTAGTTGGGCTTGCCACAATCACGCTACAGTTTCATTAAACAAATAATCAAATATGCTAACAGTTTATTTTGCCGAATAATTGTTTTTAGTTCCTTTAATACGGCAAGAAGCTATCATAAGCTAACAGATGTTTGTTTGTATTGCCTTAAGACTATCATAGTTAACGTTAGGTCAAGACACCGGAATTGTTATTAATGTTAAACAAATAAAACTTTAAAAGCACTTCCCATTACTCACACTCTGTGCTTTGTCGTTCATATTCATGTCTCCTGCTCGCTAGGTGGCAGTTTCACGAAAAACTAGGGTCCCAGGAGTGCGATCTCCGACGCTGCAGCTTCATGCTACTCGGAAAACCTGCTTATTAAAGGTTTTGCCTGTCCCTTTAACTAGGCTTTAAAGGTCCCATGTCATGGCCATTTCCACTGATCATAATTCCATTGTTGAGGTCTACTAGAATAGATTTATATTGTGCAATTTTCCAAAATCACATTGGTTTCTCATACAGCATCTCTGTAAACTACGTGTATTCACTGAATTTCACTCTCTGCCTTTAAGCGGCTCGTTGTAGCTCCAGTAGCTCCAGCCCTCACCCTCCCTGTGAGCACAGTGTGCTCTGATTGGTTGGGACATTTTGAATCGCGCTAAGCTCCGTGGAGGTGTGGTTTCCTTGTTTAGCGATACACAGCAAAACACAGCCAAACTCACCCTGAGCACACACAAAGTCACAGCCGAAGTAAAAACAATAAGTGTGGCTTGATATTGAGTAAGAAAAAGGTTGATAAACGCTGTGAGAATGGGTCTGCAGAGAGAATTTCGCCGCGATCCCAACTGTCTGTTATCAGCCTGCAGCCAGGGAGGAGAGATCAGCAGAGCTGCCTGCACTGAGTGTGTGTGTGAGGTAGTCCGTGGATTGGTCAATCTGGACCAATCAGCGGGGGCTTAACGTAACGGCTCCGCAGACGTAACGCAACGGCTCCACGGATTGGTCCATTTGGTTCCGGGTAACGCATGACATCATGAGTTACCCGGAAGAATCAATGGACAGTGACGTATCTCCAACGAGGCGTTTTGGGGACGCTGTTAGAGTTTTACTCGCTACAGGGTATACTTTGAGGGTTTTGACTCTGCAGACCGTTTACATACATAAAAGCCTTCATAACACACAAGGGGACGGGTAATAACCGGAAAAGCATGACATGGGACCTTTTAACTCTGTTTCCTATTGATCTGAGTATATTATAAAGAATAGTCAGTTAATTGAAGCATTATAACACAGGCCTTTGTCAGATGTTATATTACGCTGTTTTTTTTCTGCTTCGAATAGTTCTCTCTTTTTTCACCATACCTGTGTTTGCATCACTGGATATACTTGGTTATAGCAACTGCTTTAAAGTGTTCCTTTAAAGATCTTGAAGTGTTTAAGATCTGCTTTTAAACTCCTCACTCCTTGCAGATCCTGAAGCGTGTGAGCAACAGTGTGCTGTGGCTTCTTCGCTTCCCTGCTGTCGGCGAGCCCAACATCCAGCAGTACGCCCAGAACATGGGTCTGCCTGCCTCTCGCATCATCTTCTCTCCTGTGGCCCCCAAAGAGGAACATGTGAGAAGGGGCCAGCTGGCTGATGTGTGCCTGGACACTCCTCTGTGCAACGGTCACACCACAGGCATGGACGTTCTCTGGGCTGGAACGCCCATGGTCACCATGCCAGGTGAGGAATAGAGGGCACCAATGGCCTCAAACGACTGCAACCATTGGCTGTTAATTATAATTATTATTAATTATTATTAATATGTATTGAATAATTGAATATGAACCATTTTTTTTGTATATTTAGCTAGTAGTCCTGCAAAGATTTTTTGATATTTGCCAGCTATTAAATTGATTGCCCTGTGTTTTCAAAGAAGTCCTTTTTTAAGAAAAAAGTCAAACACTTGATTCCAGCTTATTAAATGTGAATATTTCCTGTTTTCCCAAAAAAGATTATGTAAATCATCTTGGCCTTTATGAAAAACGTATCAATGTTTTTTGCCATTTTCTGACATTTTATAGCTTTTACAGAAACAACTTGCAGAGGAATCGTGAACATTCCTTATAGTCAAATAACTGCTTATTGGAAAACACATTTTAAGTGCAGGCTGATTTTAATTGTAAACCTTCTTTGTGTAGGTGAGACCCTTGCCTCCCGTGTGGCTGCCTCACAGCTCAGCTGCCTGGGCTGCCCTGAGCTCATAGCCCACAGTCGCCAGGAGTATGAGGACATAGCAGTGAAACTCGGCTCTGACATGGAATAGTAAGTAGCAGTTCAATCTGTTCTTTAAAAAAAACACATTATTTTTAATAATCTGAAAACTGACAAGTAATCGTTTCCTCTTTCAGCTTGAAGATGGTCAGAGCTCGTGTCTGGAAGCAGCGGATCTGCAGCCCTCTTTTCAACACCAAGCAGTACACAATGGACCTGGAGAAGCTTTATCTGCAGATGTGGGAGCACCATAGCAATGGCAAAAAGCCAGAACCCCTGGTCAAAATCCATTCAGTAGAGACCAGTGAGAATGCCTAAACTGGAAGCATGCTGATTTATTTTTCCTTGTACCCTTACCATGTCCAGCCCTCCATGTTTTTAAAAAAATAACCATTGTCTGCACCCTTGTTTGGAATGGTCAGTGTCCACTCCTGCCCTCTCCCTCAATGATTGTCTCCATTGCTCTCATTCACTTTTAATGGGACTCTTCTTTGTAAAGGAGCCCAAAGATGTACACATTTTTTCCCCATCACATCCGTGGTTACATCACACATCTGCATTTCCTGAGCCAGATGCAGCCTGAGACTTTTAGGCACCTCTTCTGAGACTCTTGTCCTAAAACACAGTATATTTGATGAGCATGAGGATTGTGACTGCCCTGCTACCCCTCCAGTCCTTGGATCAGTGGATTTGTGTTGGATCAGTGGATTTGTGTTCTGTCCGTGTGAGTACAGGACTAACTGCAGCTTGTGGAGAGAAGCCGTCATTACTTGTTGATCTATTTATAAATGGATTAAGATTGTTGTGTTTTAAAAGGATAATGTTGCCCCATGGAAATTGTAACTCTGACTTAAGTTTCATCAGCTTCAACATGCAATTGTAAAACTTGGATTGCAACTGCTCTTCAGTTTGTATAAAGCTGTTATTAAATTACTGCATTGAATATATGTGCTAGTTTTTAAGGAATATGGTCTTGACAGACACTTTACCCCCCCCCCGGGGACACACACACACACACAAAATGCCAACTTTTATTAATTTAGTCAATCAAAGAATATGTTCAGTGGCTGTGCTGTTTGATGTCACAATATGTTTAAGAAGATTGAACAAAGATGGTCAAAGGCGCTTCAACTCATTGGAAAGGCCCTACATGTCAGTTTTTTTCAGAGTTGTTCACAAATTGATATTTTTTTTAACTCAAACCAGGAACGGCATAGGTAAGTATTTTCTAAGGGGTTTTTGTTTTTGTATTGTCCGTTACTGTATGCTGTCAATGATGCCGCGAGGTTCTAAATATAATACGAAAAATAAAGAGATGGCAAAACTCTGCACTGTCTGTTGTACTCGGTTGTATTTATTGGAATAAACAATGAAAAGTAAATAACCCTTTCCTATTACTGTGTCACAAGTGGCAGCATTCTTAAATTACAAATTCATTGACTTTTTGCCCTTTTCTTTGGTATATTTAAAGAAAAGTTGTCTAATATGCTCTGGTTATTAAACCTGTTCCTAAACAAGTGTTCTTCAAGGATTTAAAAAAAAATGTTTAACCATGTTGGGGGAATAGAAAAGGCTACAGATGGAGCATTATTTGATATATTTTTACTTATCTAGATCTAGCAAACCACAATACCAAAGATATGAGTAAAACACTAGTGTTCAAATTGTGCTCAGTTTTTAAATATTCAGAGCTCCTTGGGTTGTGTATTGTTCATTAAATGTTGAAGTACCTAATCGTTTATTGAGTTTACAGATTACAATAAACACTACAAATATTTTAGGAGTTTCTGGAATTTCTGTTTCAAGATATACCTTAGAATTAAATGGAAGTACTGCAAGTGTATAAACCGTGACCATATGTGGGACAAGTACCTCGTATTTGAAATAATAAATAAAACAAATCCTTTTCATATGATAAGCGATTGATGGTGGGTTGGGAGGCTGTGGCTCAGCGGTTAGTGTGCTGGACTTCGAATCGGGGTAGCAAGTTCGAGCCCCACTCTTTATATATACAGTCTATGGTCCCACTGCAGTCGGCATGTCGTTGTGTCCCTGGGCAAGACACTTCGCCCCAAATTGCTCCTGTGGGGATTGTCCACAGTACTGAATGTATGTAAGTCGCTTTAGATAAAAGCGTCTAACAAATGACATGTAATGTTGTGTACAGAATGTCACGTGCCATATGAAGCGCGCTCCGGTTGGTTGAACGGCTGCTGACTACTTCCGGTCTTTCGTGGCACACAATTTGAATTTGCCTTCGCTTAGCTTCATCTGCCAACTCTGCGTCTTATTTACAACAATAGCAGGAGCAGCGAATTCGGTAATCATACCTTATGTCAAATACATTTTGAATGACCATTATAATAAATGTTCTACTGAGGTTTAAGCTAACTTAGGGGAAACACGGAAATATTGCTCCACTTTCAGACATGTATCGTGAGTCCAAACAGTATGTTAGCTAGCACGTTGCTAACGGTCACTATTGTTTCTAGCAACAGTAAACGCATGTATGGAACCTCTTGTTAATGTCTTGCATTATTTAAAACAAGTAGCTGGTTCAATGAAAATCATGTATTATACCATCTCATATAGCCTATTGTGAGCATACAGGTTTTGCGTTAGGGCTGGACTTTAAATGTTAAATGTCGTGTTGGTTTGTGTACCTTTTTCACAGAGCAGAGGAAACGATGAATAATGAGACTCGCACATTGTTTGAGAGAGTTGCGAAAAAGATGGGCTGGGATGATGAGGGAGGACTGGACACAGCAGAAAAAAAGGTTTGTCTTTATCTTAAAATGTAACAAAAAGATCAGTAGACATAAAAACAAGTAATTTTAAGCAAAAATGCCATGTATTAGTTGTTTCCATATTCTTAAATGTATCTAATAATCAAGCGTTCATCATCAATTATAAAAATAATCAGCCCTATTTTGTGCATCTTAAGATAGATAGATATATAGGTACTTTATTGATCCAAATTTGGGAAATGTTTGGGTTGCAGCAGCATAAAAAACAAAGGCAATGTACATGAGAGAAATTAAGACACGAGAAAAATAAAAAGTCAAAACTATTTCTGAAATAGAAATGAAATGAAAAGCATTAAAAAGTTAAATGTGGAAATACAAATTTCCAGTAACAAATATAATGCAGGATATTATTGTGCAAGAAATTGATTATTCAATATTAAATTGAATATAAATGTATAATGTATAGTGGGAGTTTAATTCCAATTTACAAGAGAAGCTATGGAGCAGAGAGTTCTCTTTCGGCCAGAGGTGAATTGTTGTACAGTGTTAAATGGTAACGCCAGTCCGTCTGTCTTTGTTATTTCCAGCTGATAAGCTCAATTGGCAAGACTCGTCATCCTGCTACAAGCAGTTTTGGATCTCTGGCTCCAACAGCCTCTCCGGTCCAGCTGGCCCTCTGCAACAGTGAAGATGATCCAGAGAAGGAGAACCAGTACTCTAAGAGCAACGATTACAGGAACAAGTATTTGATCGAGTCCAGTGATGACGACTTCGACCAATGTGAGTGGGTTTAACTGTACACATTTGCATATCGATCATTTGTATGATTCTGTTTGCAAATACAATAATACGTTTATTTGACCTTTTTTGCCTTAGTTCTTGTGGAAAGAGCTACGCCACAAGCAAAACCTTCCTCGCTAAAAGTATGTAGTGCTGTAAAGAAAGACAGGTATGGAAATACTTGCACTGTCAACGTTTCATGAAGCAACAGCACTGTGTTGTTTCTTGTTTCAATCTCATATGTCTCATCAAAGTTTTGATCATTTTAGTTTCAGGTTCTAAATCATCTTTGTTGTTTTTAGTTCAATTGTCCTTGTAGTGAGCTCAGACGATGACGGCAGTTTCGAAACATGTAAGTGGTCTTGTCTGCTTCTGTAACCCTTGACAATAAGTGAAACACATTCTAACATCAATGTTATACCATATTTGTTTGTTACATTATTATATTGTCTGTTTAATTTTCCTCTCCTTTATCCCAATGTTGGATAATGAAGTTCTGCAAAGAGTGAAAACCCCAAAAGCCAAGCCAAAGACAATTGCAGAGAGTGGGAGTGAAGATAGGTGAGTGTTTCATGTATTTTTACTTAATAATGAATAGTTTTCTCTTAAATGCTTTGTCGGTGTCTGTAAACTTTGTTTTGAAAAATCTATTTTACTTTTTGTTTCTTTTTAAGCCTCAAAAACTTCATAGTGGATAACCTCTCATCAGATGATGACTTTATTCAGCCCAAATCATCTGTTAAAGGTAACTTTGAATGAACTTCTCACAACTGACTGTTATATATATTTTTTAAAAGCAATGCAAAATGTGATGTTTTTTTCCTCTGTTTTGCAGTGCCTAAGAAGAGCTATACTCCAGCAGTCCTCCACCCCCCGAGGAGGCCGCTGTCTCAGTGGGCCTCCCCAGTCTTTGTGAGTGACAGTGATGATGATGAGGAAAATATTGTGGTCAAGAGCACTTGGAAGAATCGTCACTCAAAACCTAAGCCCACACCAAAGGCTGACCAGAAAGAATCTCTGCGGTTTGATGAAGACGACAGTTCCCCATTCCTGCTTCCCCCTCCCATCCATTCTCCTTTTTTTCTTCTTCCCCACAAAACTCAAACATCACTGGCCTCTACGAAACGCACTCTCTCAGCCCCTCCCAAGATGGATGATTCGTCCAGTTCTGAAGAGGAGTTCATATCCTTACTGGAGAGACTGAAAAAGAAAAACAAGTTCCCTGGCACGTCCTTCTCACCAAGAAGAACTAATGGTACAGGTTGTATTCAGATTGTTGCATCTGAACAGTCTCTAGCTCTTGTTTTGATTGTAGTTTTGAGGCTGATATCAATTGTTTTGTTCTTAAATATAGAAAACAACAAAGAACCTCCTGTGCCAGCCCCTTCTGTAAAGGGATTCTCAACACCAGTCTCCAAACCATTAATGGAAACACCTCTGCAGACAAAGACATCAGGAAAACCCGCCATTTTGAAGCCCATGGTTAGTCAGACTGAGCCTAGACACGGACCCACCAGCAGGTACGTCTGTTGACCAGTTTGTATCTTGATTGTCACTCCCTTAATTTGTCTTTTAGTTAACCCTGTCCTTTCCTCTTCTAGGGTAGCACTGTGTAGGACCCCAGGGTGCTTCCTACAGACCTTATCAAACCCTGGCTCCAGCTATGGCCGCAATTTTAAGCAGAATAAGGAAGAACTCACCAGTAGACTTTACCTGCTGTACAATTCCAGTGTATTTGACACTAAGGTGATTAAGAATGTCATTGTTGTTGCATACTATTTAACATTGTTTAGGTTGCTTCTTTAACATGCGGTTGATATTGTCTTTACTTGTCTGGCTTGACTTCTAGCTCCCCGTCAATATGTCAGTGACTTGGAATAAGAAGTTGCGTAAAACTGCCGGTTACTGCATCACGGGGCAGGAGCGAGGTGGAGGGAACCGCTACGCCCGCATTGAACTGTCAGAAAAAGTCTGTGATTCTGCAGGTAATGCTTTAGTAAAACACTTTAAAGTAATCAATTGTGTCTTTGTCTTAATGTAAATACGTGAAAACATCTTCCATGCACAGTATCATTTTCATTTATGTTAGTTTGATCAAATCTCCCGACCACATTCTCACTTTCCACCCGTCTAGATCGCCTCAGGGACACGCTGATCCATGAGATGTGTCACGCTGCAACCTGGCTGATTAACGGTGTGAGGGACGGGCATGGAAACTTCTGGAAGCTGTATGCTCGCAAGTCCACAGTGGCCCACCCTGAGCTGCCCATGGTCACTCGCTGTCACAGTTATGACATCAAGTACAAGTTCCATTACCAGTGCACCCGCTGCAAGAATATGTACGTACAACCTATTTTCAGACTGATTGAAATCATTAAAGTCATGACGTTCTTTATTTTTTCACCTTGCATTTTCAACTGTTCTTATTTTATGATGATTCTTCACAGGATCGGACGTCACTCCAAGTCTCTGGACACTCAGAAGTTTGCGTGTGCCCTCTGCACGGGACAGCTCGTCTTACTGACGTCGGCCAAGCAGCGTCCTCCCACACCTTTTGCCAACTTCGTCAAAGAGAACTTTGGGACCGTGCGACAGGAGCTCACGGGACAAAGTCATGGCGAAGTGATGCGCAAACTTAGTGTTGACTTTGCTTCGACTAAACTCAGTCAGAGCTAAGACCTCACTGCTCGTTGTACTGTCATTACAGAATGAGCCTCACAACATCCGGAAGATGAAATACCTCAGTCAACTGAGTGAGCAGCTGTGACTATTTATATTGTGTTTTTTTCTCTCTCAATGTTCATGAAATCTTCTATTCATCACATTGGAAGGTATACCTCCTGTTATCACTGATATAAACTGAAGATCAGTTTCTTAAATAATTGCGTTTCTAGAGGACGGTGAAATCAATTTTTATTGCATTTTTTAAATAATTGACCAGTTTCATCTTTCTGTTTATTAATTTTATCAATAAAGTTGAAATGTGTTACCGTTCATGAAATGGCCAATTGACATCTTTCCGACATTTCATTTGAGTTCTTATAATTAATCAGCATGTAATAGATTTTAGAAGTTCCTTTTACAAACATACATTATTGAAATACCTATGTGTAGATCCCTGGTTTTATAGTGTTCATTACTAGCACATAGTCAATTTACTTCCTAAATAACATATCTTAAAGGGACCACTCCTGCAACTGTTATCCCGATAAGAAACCCTAGCTGTTGACACATCACTGTCCACAGGGAAGAGGTTTTAGGTATGGGGTCTGACACGCTGACATGGGGAAGCTGAGTAAATGGACAGCCCAGCACATGACATAAAGAAGTAATCTCAATCAACCATCAGAATGAAATTGACTTCTGACATGGTGCACCACGTTGGGTTAATAATACTCTAGAGAGGAGAGCATCTTTGGATCTGAGGTGACTATTAACATATCCTTTTCCCAAAGGTACAAGTGGCTTTTTGAGTTCCAGCTATTTGTGTTTTCTTTTTGGACTATCTGGAAGGCAGATCAGAGGGGCCTGTATTTCATGGATTTCCACTGCAATGTGACCTTACTAAAGGCACCGACACAGATTCATTCAAGACGGTCAGCATGTGTGTGAGCTGCACCTTGAACACCATACTCTGCGTTCCTTTACTCCTGGTCATCCCGCGCTCCCCATCTCTCCTCAGACAGGCTCGCTTCCTGCTCCTCACACACAGGTAGGTCAGTAGGTCACTACTGATTTACTTTGAACTGCACAACCTTACTCAAAATCTGTGATCCTTATAAGATGCCCTTTGAGATAAAAGATCACCCTTGTTACCATTTCAGCAGCTCCTCTGGACAATCAAAGCCGTTGTTCTGAGATCAAGAGAAAGTATGCAAGTGACCCACTGTCTGATCTTCTGAGCTGCTCACCAGTCATTGCTTATTGGTTTGTAAAACATTGATTTATATTTATTCGATTTATATTTGGTCTATAAAATGACTTGTGCTACAGAAGAGGTCACGTCTCCTTTTGATTGAACATCACCTGGAAAGGACGACTCTTTCTCCTTTGGATATAGGTTGCGGTCGAATAGTCTTTAAGGATAGAGAGGTTCCTTACTGAGTGAAATGAGCCAAGATAAAAGCCAATCCATTCCTCTAAATGGAGAAGCAGCATTCAGTTATTATGCTCCAAAAATCTGGAACAAACTCCCAGAAACCCGCTGCAACTCCGACTACTTTTGAATCCAGGCTGAAGACTTTTCTTTTTACCGCTGCTTTTAATTGAACTATTCACATCTTAAGCTGCACTGTAACTTTTATTCATGTATTTTTTCTTTTAGTATTTATTTTATCATCTTTGTTTTTTGACTGTTTTTAATTGCCATTCTCTTAATGTCTTTCATTTTTGGAAGGCACTTTGAATTGCCTTGTGTTGAAAGGTGCTATATAAATAAACTTGCCTTGCCTCTAAATGCTAAGAAAAGGTGCTTCAATATAAGCTCCTTTCACATCTTTCCTTGACCTCATGGTGTTTTTCATCAAGGTCAAGAAAAGTGGTTGGCATATTACATGCTTTATTTGTTTTAGGATTCAGCTGCAGCCATCACTCAGGTTTAAAATCTATTGATCTGTGTAAATATCACTTCTTGAGCTTTACCAAAGCCAGTCTCTCTTGAACACATCGAATGGTATCTTAAAATGTATTCTTTGTAGCGCTCAAAAAGCTCCAGCTGTGTTTGAGCTCCAGTGGAGTGACACAAAAAAGAAATTGCACTAAAAACATAGTGACATTCAAAGATTCAAACTGCTGAGGGCTTATTGTAGCTTTGGCATTTGTACTTCATAGTATTTACAGATTGTATCTCTTGTGTGGAGTTCCATAATTACTATCCATGACAATACAAGTTAATTATTCCAACTAAATTAAGGATCATTTTTGTGTATCGTGCATAGTAAAACAAGACCTGGAGCCCCCTTTAAAAGGGCTGTGATTGACGTATGTGACCTTAATTAATCTCTACTCTGCAGACAGCCTGCCTGCTGGCTCACCTCTTTTGAAAACTCCACACGTAACCCTGACATATTGAACTGCATCTACTTTATGTATTGCCTTTGCACAGGTGGACCTCTTCCTGAGCACTGCTCTGACTGAGGTCCTCTTTGTAGCTGTCTAGTAGCCCCTGCGCTCTGAATTCTGGATGTATGCTCAAAGGAAGAGAGCTGTTTATGGACTTTATCATCTGTGCTCAAAGTCAACAACCAAAATTAGATATAATAAACATTTTTACCTTACCCTCCAGTTAAGCACAGAAGCTTTTTCATTGCATCACGCTTTGTATTTACTGTTTAAAATAGTAAGGTTGGATAGTTTCTGCAGTGAGGTAGCAGCATCCCCCTGTAATCTGTTTAGTAACAGCAGTAGAATAAATAATGTGAGTTGAAAAATAAGAGGCTGTTCCAACACTGATAGCTACAATGATGCTATTAACAATGAGAAATAAATGACAGGATAAACTGCTTCAAGATATTTATTCGGTACCTTAAACACTTATATGCTGTATATCTACTCATTCACTATGAATCTTACAAAACATTCAAGAATACAGATTATTTGTATATATATATTAGAGTAGTTTGACATAACAGGGGGATAAATACTTAATTCTACAAGAAAAATACATACACAATCATATTTTAAAGATATTGGAATACTCCCCATTTTAGGAGGCACAGGCACAAATCCACAGGAAGTACTGAGGTGAGAGCACTCCCCAATCATCAGTGGTAACAAAACATGAAACAGTGGCGTTAAGAGAGTAAACCAAACATATACAGATGGATTAAACGTAATGCACACGCTGTATATTCAATTAAAGTATAGGAATGTACTGTGTTTGTCACTGTGTTGACGTAGGCACTGAGAAGTTCTTGACAATAAATACCTACATATTATCGTTTATATAATCACCGTATTTCTCATAAAATGCAGAGAGAGTATTCTCTTACTGTTTTCAACAAATATACTGTAGATTATCATGTAAACCACCCGTCTTTAACAACCTGCTTTCAGTGCAGCTGATGACAGCTAAACCTTTTGATAGTCTCCGTATAAGTGTAAGAGGAAATGTATGGCACGACATAATAGGAGAATGGAAATGTTATATATGAGCAGAATTGAATGTGAAAACATCACTGGTCCCTAATGTGATGCTCTACCTTCAGTACAGACAGGTCTTCTTCATGATGCGCAGGAACTCCTGCTGGTTCACTTCTCCATCTCCATCTCTGTCTGCTTCCTCTATCATTTCCTTCAGACACACAACATAAGAGAAGAATGATTAAAAGGAGACTAGAGGAATTTAAAACAAGCTATTTTGGTAGCATTCGAAGCAAATGTTGTGTTTACATATTGCCAAACTGCAGTCATGACCTTTGAGAGTGGAGTTGAGGGCTAATATGAATGTAATTTAGTTTTTTTCTACATGATGGTCTTTACCTGCAGCTCTTCATCTGTGAGGTTCTCTCCCAGCTCTTTGGCTACTCTCTTCAGATTCTTGAACGAGATCCTGCCCGTCTCGTCATCATCAAACAGACGGAACGCTTTCAGGATCTCCTCTTTGGAGTCCTTCTCAGCCTTAAATCAGAGAAGAAGGAGAGCAAGTTTAGTTCAAACTGCATTTCTGCAAGGGTGTGTACTGTAGTGGTCGGAGAACAGACAAAAATAAATACAATACGAGTATAGTCAAAAAGTGGCTGATAGGGGTGGAATAAAGACTGGGGCTCTACTGACTAACAGGTTAAGCATCTACAATTAAAAACTACAAACCAGTAACTCAATTTCAAACAAGAGAAAACAAAGTGAGTGCATATATGGTATATTTCATGATATAGATAAGTACCATTTTCTGTGTCATGACAAAGAGGAAGTCAGCGAAGGAGATTTTCCCTGTGCCGTCCTTATCCACGTCGCCAATCATCTTCTTGATCTCCTCTTTCTTTGGTTCAAACCCCAGAGCTCTCATTGCAACCTGTCACATTGAGAGAGGTGTGAGAGTGAAGCCCATAGAAAACGGTCTTCTTCCACCTGTTGTGTGACTGTTATCAGCGTTAGGGCTCTTTTACCTTGAGCTCCTTGACATCAATGTATCCGCATCCATCGGTGTCGAACAGCTCAAAGGCCTCTCTGATCTCCTGCTTCTGCTCCTCTGTCAGCTCTGGTTTGGGGGTGGTCTTCTTGCGAGGAGGGGGCACGGGACCCTGCAGGGATGGTCTCTTGGCAATGGTCGCCTGATGGGGACACAGGAGGGGAGAAAGAAGCAGAATAATTGTAATAATTGCAGACACAAGAGCCTATGATAACAATAGAATCAGAGAGGCTCCTGGATGAAAATGGGCATTTCCACATACACACAAATAAATCATATATCCATCACTGAGTCAAATGCAACACAATAGCAACGATTGTGGTTCTAATGAGGATGTTTTACTCACCATCAGCTGCAATGTATTTGTTTGTCAAAAAGGAAAATGCAGATCTTAGGCGATCTATGTTTTTATCTTGGCTATGAAGCCTCCCTATCATTTAGGGAGGAGGTGATGATAAAAACAGGTTAGCAGTACTTGACATCAGTTGCTCGCATTAAACGTTAAATCCCTCCGAATGACAAGGTAGTGTCTTGTTCTTAAAAATGTTCTATTTATTTCACAGGAACGGCTGTTAAAATGTGCAGAAAATACCATGGATGTATAATAAGAACAACACGCACAGGTTCCGTTGTTCAGGAGCTGTAGTCATGGAGCCAATGCGTTTAATTTGTGCACCCTTTATGCCAGCAGAGAGGAGATTACCTTCATGGCCAATGGGAAACTGATGCAGGATACCGAAAAGGCACGAATGGGAGTGAAAATCAAACGCATCAGTCGGGCGAAAATATGATTGGCTGCTGAAGATCACGGGGTGCAAGACACGATCAGAACATTCAGAGCTGTTGACTTCCTGGAGTTTCCATAGAAACATAAACGAT